CAACCCACCCCGACCGGTTTGGCTTAGGTGTGCAGGCTGCCACGAAGACCAAGAGGAGCTGTCAGCAGATGCCTGGACACACGCGGGCTATAGGCAGCCTTGGCCCCGCTCGCGGGAACGGCCCCGATCTGGCCGCCGCACGTGCTGAGGACACGAAGGGAATGCATGGCGGAGGCGTGTGGCCTCTGACGGTGGACGCTTCCCCCTGCCCTGACTGAGGGCTCGCGGCGGGCAGGGACCGTGCGTTCTGTGGCCCCGTGTCCTCTCTGGATGGAGCCTGGCACAAAGCAGTGTTCACCTGAGTGTCTGTAACTGAACCAAGCCAGGCAGGCACTGTGACGCCGCGCAGACGCGTGCACATACTAAGGATGCCACCTTGGCTTGAGTTGTCCCCATTCTTCAGGCCCAGAGTGTGGGTGGGAGGAAGGTAGGTAGTGAGGCATGAAGGGAATGGGGGTTCGATGGGAAAGAAAGAACAGAGCGCAGGAAGCCAGGCGCCCGGCTGGAAAGGCTTCCCCAACCCGGGTTTTTTCCAGCCCCAGCCCTGGAATCTGCCTTCCCCAGGCCTCACCCCAGAACAGGGACCGAAAGGCCCGCGTATGAGGGCGTGTTCCCTGAGAGCATGGCCCTTGTGAGACATGCAAGGCTGAGGGCCCGGGGAGCAGAGAGACTCGGAGATTGACATTTGTTAGATGAGGGAGAGAGAGACTTGGACTCCAAGCGCAGGCCTGGAGTGGCTGCGCGGCCTGACCACCTTGGGTCCCTGGCCTCGCCAACAGCCCCCACAAGTCCTGCCTCCCCTCAGCGCCCCGTGTGGCTGGAGCCGGGGGTGAGTGGATGAGGGGCTCACAGACCCCCCTGACTGGTTGCCCTGTGGAGGGCTTGGGGGCATGTTGTGAACAGGAAGGCTGAGGAGATACGGGAACCAGAACTGGACACCCACCCTGTGACCTAACTGCTGTCCCAGGCCTCAGTTTCTCCAGTGGTTTCCCGGAGCAGGAGGGATGAATCCGTGGGAAGGAAAGGAGCTCCTCTGAAACCGTGCGATAGGATCCGAGGCGTGATAATGATAATTATAACACAGGATGCTCCCCCCTCCCATAGCCCCTGGCCCTACCCCACCCCTGCGACACTGCATCTCAAAGCAGCATCGGGGTGAGGCAGCTCCGCTGGCACAGGTGGGGACCTGAGTCCTAAAGAGGGGAGGGGGTTTGCCAAGGTGGAGGTGGAGAGAGGCTGGGTGGTTTTGGCAACTGGCCTGGCCCTTGAGGAGAGCCTGCTAGAAATAGCCCTCGAAGAAGGGGTCACTACCAAGGTCACTGCCGAGGGTTGGGGTCACGGTCCTGAGGCAGGGTTAGAGTCCGGGTGATGACTCACGTTCAGGAGAGTGGGGGTCTCCACCTCCCTGACCGTCCCTGACCACCCTGTCCATACTGACATCCATTCATTCACAAATGCACGCCTTCACCAGAAGCATGTTCGGTGCCCACCAGGCGCTCGGGGCTGTCCAGGCGCGGGTGACCGTCACAAAGGTTATAGAACAGGCCTGACTTTCCAGGAGCTCACGGACCACAGCTCCTGTCCTGTCCCCTAGTTTCACACGTTTAACTGAGTCCCTGGCACGCAGCAGGCTCCAATCAATGTTTCTTGAAACCGAAGCTCACATTTAGTTAAGGAGATAAGAGGTGCACAAATTAGGGGTGCACAAGCTATAATAAAGGGACCGGCAGAGGCTGGGGAAGAACAGAGGTGGAAAGAATCGTTTTCGGTGGGAGGAGCTGAGAAAGCCCCGCGGAAGATGTGGCGTGTGAGGTCAGCTTTGAAAGATGAATAAGATTGTGACGGAGATGGGGGTACGGGGTGTGGAGAATACACTCTATGCAAAATGACCCTTTCTCACCCTCTTGATTCCTGCTTCCTGCCTCTGGCCAGACAAAGGGTCCTGCTGCAAATTTTAACCTATATATATATTTTTTTCTTTCTTCGTGGTTAGGTCAGTATTTCCCTTTTTTTTTTGGTCCCAGTCTGACAGTGAGCTTGCCTCTCCTCGTCACCCAGTTTTCAGGGAGTCCAGAGCCTGGCCCCTTCCTCTGGCTATTCCTCTGTCTATTCTAGATCGGCCAGTGAGGTTTTGTGCACGTGGTGGCTATATTGTACGCATCCAGAATGGAAACCCAGGGGCTTCCAAGTAGGAATAGACTTACAGGGATACAAGGGCAGAGTACTTGAAATCGACATTGACCTTGCAAAGTCTTGTCCCATGACTGTGGGATAAAAGGGTAAACTGACCGTGGAGTGTTGTGCTGATGCACTTTGGAGACTCCTGGCCGGGTAACGAGGAGGCATGGAGGCTGAGAGAGAGGATCCTGCTAGGGAGACCAGGACCCTGTGAGGCTCATTTCTTGGTCAGTCCATCGGCTTCTTCTATATATGCTGGGATCGGGGACAGTGTCCCTTAAGCTCCTTCTCAGGCATCTTTGGACCAGCCCCCTGTCTCCAGGATAGAGATGTCTGAGAAAACCGTGTTCCTACCTGAGCTGTGTGTCCTCCAGCAAGCCTGCTCCCCTCTCTGGGCCTCTTTTCTCATCTGGAGAAAGAGGTATAGGGGCCAGTCCCGCACTTCCCAGTTCTGGCCCTTCTGATTGCCCAGCTTCAAAGCTGAGCCCCTGCGGGAGACTGGGGAACTTGGCCCGGCCTCGGGGAGGCAGCGAGGCTGGCTGGGCTGTGGGATGCTTGGGCTCCTTTCCACCCACAAGGGCCTTGCCCCTCTTCCTCCTGGCCTGGTGCCTCCCTCTCTGAGCCACCCCGGGCCTTCTCCTGCCCCGCCCCCCGCACCTCGCCTCTCCCTCGCCAGCCCCTGCCACACTGGCGGGTGAAGCCTGGAGCTGACGATGGGATTCCCCCCCACCCCGCCGGGTCCTTCCCTCCTGCCCTCCCTCCCTGGCGCCCATTAGCGAGCCCAGGCCGTGGGGGCGGCGGCTGCTGCGTCTCCGTGCCAGGCCCAGCCCCCGGAGACGCACCTGTTCTGACCTGCTGAGCAGGTTCCCAGGTTTCTGCCGTCGTCGTTGGCCACGGCGTGGGAAGCAGCTCTGGGGGAGCTCGGAGCTCCCGATCACGGCTTTTTTGGGGGTAGCCGGAGCCAGGCGGGGAGAGCACGGCTGGGTTCCCTAGTAGAGACCCCAGGGGGATAGGCCCGCGTGCCAGTGCCTGAGGAGTCCGGGAGCTCCTGCCTTCGGCGCCGTGCCCTACCCAGCTCTAGAGCCGGCTCCCAGGGAGAACTCAGCGGACCGTCAGAACACTGGGCGGCTCTGCCTTCTGACTGGTGCCCCGGTGCCCTGTCCCTGGGAGCCGAGATGCGGGGGCCTGAGGCCTTGCTGCTGCTGCTGCTGCTGGCATCACTTACAGGTAGGACTTGCCCGAGGCGTCGGGACCCCTGCTTCTGAACCTGAGCCAGCGCACACACGCACGCGCACACACGCACACACACGCACACATAAACATCCTCTTTCCCTTGACTCTGGACTGAGCAACCGATCTTTCTCTTCCCGCTCCCCCCCGCCCCCCCGCCACTGCTGGTAATACCCCCAGAAGAGCCAGCGTCACTCTTTCCCTTCGGTCCCTCTTCCAGCCCCAGGCCACATCCCTGAGTCTGGGGTCCCTGACCGCCTCTACCACAGCCTTGCCTAAGCCGGAGCTGCCTCCGGGGCAACAGTGCAGGGGGGGCAGGGAGGTGGAAGAGCGGGGGACCCTCTCGCCCCACGGTTTCCTGGAGGCCCCTTCACCTGCTCCTGGGGTTCCAGAAGTGCTGACTGGAGCCGGGCTGACTCAGGGCTGAGCTGGTGTTAGCAGTCGTCTGGGTGCAGGAAGCCTGACGCCCAGAGAGTGGACAGGGCGCTTCTGTTTCCTTCTCTTTATGAGGTCCTACAACACTGGCTTTGGAGCACCTGCTGGGAGACAACCGGGGGGCTGGGGTCCCTTCACTCTGGCCCCTCTCTTTCCCTGGGCACACTATTTAGTGGTGGGGCTGATACTTAGATGGGGGGGTGTCTAGGGTAGGGTATCTTCCAGACAGGGTGTGGTCTCCTTTTGTTTATTCTTGTCCCCTCATTTTCTCAACTAGGTGCCTTATGACTCGGTCTAACGTAGATATAGTAGATATAAATTACAGGAACTTATCATCTTTAGAGTGGGGGGCAGAGTGTGTGTGTGTGCGTGCGCGCGTGTGCGTACACACAGTGAGACCACAGTGGGATTCCCCTAGGCTCTTTCCAGAGTAATGAGTGACTGAGGAATCTTTGTCCTGGAAGACAGAGCCCTGTCTGGATAAGTCCAGAAGGAAGTCTCATTGTCCAGCGGGGCCCGGCAGCGACTCCCTCCCCACCACCAGCTGCCGCTGTCAGGAGCGTGAGGCACAGGTGTGTGGGAGGGTGGGCGCCGCTGCTGCCCGGGTCGTGTAATGGGAGGGATGGAAGGGTCACCGGCCAGTCTCCAGTCACGGGATCCCGAGCCCCAGCCCCTCTGCTTCCCAGCCCTGTCTTAATGCCCATCATCCAGGCATTGCCCATCTTCCTCCGCACTTGCTCAGGCCCAGAGGGTGGGGTCTGGTCGCTGTGGCCAGAGAGCTCGGCAGCCGCTTTTCTGTGGGACCTACCCACCCGGGAAGAATGGAGCCACAATGTCTCAGAACATGGAAGGGGTCAGAGAGGCCACCGCTCCAACTGCCTCATTTTAACAGACGGGGAAACGGAGGCAAGGGACTGTTGTGTTAGAAGCGGGACTGGGGCGAGTGTGTTGGTGCCCCAGCCCCCAGTGTGCGGAAGGCTAGTCCATGTGCGTGCGCACGGGGCACCGCCGGGGAGTAAATGCTGGGGCGCGGTGGCCAGCAGGATGTGGTCCTGCCTTCTTGTTCCAGAACGCAAAGAGCTCAGGGAAGGGGACAGGAGACCTCTTGTCATTAGGGCGTCACCGCGACCTTGCCCAGTGCCCGACGGACAGGTGCCATGGCTACGGGCACCCTGGTTCCAGAATTACCTGGGGTAACTGGGGCCCGGTGAGCCCCCCGACCTCTGTGAAGACCTGCACAGAGCTGGACAGTGCTCTGAGGTCCAGAACTCAGACCCCAGGTTCCCAGCTCGACGACCACATCTGCTGTCGCCCCCATTCTGGCTCGTCCGCGTGTAAAAGCCCCTGGGAAGCCGGAGGCGCCTTGTCTCGGAAAGAGCTTTGGGCTGGAAGGCAGGAGGCTTGCGTTCCGGCCCCATTTCTGCTGCCCGTGTGCTAGGTGACCTTTGGGAACTAAGAAGGTAGACTCGGCAGAGCACGAGGCGGGACCCCAGGGTCTCTGTGGGCCTTCCCGCTCTGCAGCCCTGTGGCGGTGTGACCGTACAGCCCCTGACTGAAGTGGGGTGCCAGGTGCTGGAAGAAGGGTTCGGTCTGGCCGTGGGGATGGCAGGCGGCAGGGTCCTGGCCCATCGCTCAGTGGGGACCAAGGGCAGCTTTCCCCTGGATGCTGCCTTCTGCATCTGCCCTGCTGCAAATCGGTGCGCGCCCCCTAACTCCTGGGCCATCAGAGCTCTGAGCCCCAGGGCCCTGCCCCACCCCTGACAGGGAGAGGAGCCCAGGCTTGGGAGGTGCCTGACACCACAGCTCTTTGTCTCTCCTTAATGGGATGAATTTCCGGGTAAGGTCCCCTCCCTTCTCCCTCCTTCATCTCCTGCCCTGAGGCCGAGGGGCCCACATCCAGACACCCCTCCAGTGGGATGCCAGTTTCTAGCTCTTTGTCTGGGCCCAGTGGGTCCTGAGGGGCCAGAGGGCCAGGGCTGCCCTGAATTCTGTGCTCTGCCCTCCAAGGATCAGAATCAGCTTTCTACCTGAGGTTAGTTTCCTAGAAAGGGAGGGGCCCCGTCCCTGCTTTAGGTTCCTGTTTACAGAGGGGGGCAGGCCCTTTCCTGCAGGACTTACCCAAACCCAGGGAAGCCAGAAAGGGAGGCTCGCCTCCCCACCCAAGGTGGCAAGGACTAGGAGAGTCACAGGGAGGCCCCGTGGCACCCCGTGACCTTTGTCCACACTAGTGTTTCGGCAGGGCCGGGCTCAGAGGACCCCAGCTGCAGAGATGGCGGTGAGGAGCTGGCACAGCGCATGGCCCCAGCTTTGGGAGCATCGTCTCGGGGCTCTGGGCCCTCCAGGCTGAGGACAGCCACTGTGGGGAGCAGGCCTCGTGAGGAGACAATGCCTGGACTTTCTGGTCTCCAACGCTTACTCCAGCACTTGACCAATGGCTAGCCGGGCCGAAGGCGGGGGCGGGGTGGGGCTGAGTCAGGAGGGAAGGGACTACAGGAGCCTAGGGGCTGAATCTAAAACCGCAGGGAAGGTCAAGTTCAGAACTGGGGCCGGGCCACCAAGCCTCGTAGAGGAGGGCTGTGAAGGAGGTGGTTTGGATCAGTCTCTCCCTGGGATAGGGAGCCTCTGGCCCCCAGGAGCTTTTCCCATAGTTTTCTGGCCACCCCCTCCTCGCTCGCCCTTAAAACTGGTGTGTCCTGAGAGCTGGGTGGAGGCTATGATTTGGGGTGGGGCAGAGCTGGCCCCCACTTTGGGGGGGGGCTGGCAGGATTTAGGGGTGCGGGGTGGCTAAGATCTCAGGAGTTTGGGAGAAGCTGAGTTCTGGGTCTCCCACCCACAGTGTGGCTGTTGCGGTGACTCAGCCGGGCTCAGACTCTGGCTCCGGGGGGTTTAGGGGACTTATCTGTGCTGGGAGCTGTGTCTGGGCCAGAGCCGGGCTGCCTCAAGGCCTGTCCTCCCGCATTGTTCTCAGCCCCCTTTGTGATTGGTGTGGCCCCCCTCCCCAGACACTAATCTGTGGGTGGGCACTCTGCCCGGGCTGGGAAGCTCTCGCTAAGCTGGGGGGCTTAGGACAATGGGGGCTCAGTGAGGGATGTGGATGGAGGTGGAGAGAGAGGCTCCTGGTTTTCCAGGTTCCTTAGCACTCCAAGGTCAAGGTTATGGGAGGAAGGGTAGAAGGAAAAGGGCTTGCTGGGTTGTTGCTGTCACTTGTCTTGAATGGGGGGGGCTTCAGGGCTCCCCCCAGGTCCTTTCTTGCCCCAAACACTCCCACAAAGTCCAGCTCTGATGGTAGAGGCTGCCACTGTGGGCCGAGGGGAGGCAAGAGTTAACACAGGAGCAAGAGCTGCTGGACAGCTTGGACCCCTCCCCCAGCCCTAGGCAGGAGTCCCCCCCACCCCCAAACCCACACCAGACAAAACCCTCACCCTGGGCCTGGAGCTAGAGCTGGTTTTTCTGGTGGTGATAGCAGCAGAGGCCTGACAGAGATTCCCAGGGAGCGGCTTCCTGGGGGGCCGGAGGGGCTGGGGGGCCCCCAGGAAGGGGGGGGTCCTTCTAGTAGGAACCTGAAGAGCCGGGGGAGGGTGAGCTTTTGTTTTGCTCCCCTGAGGAGTCCTCTCCAGCAATTTCCCATCACCTGGAGGGACAGTGACCTCATCTCTGGGTACCTCCACCTGAGGTGAATCTGCCCTCGAGTCTGGGGTGAGGTGGGGAGGGGTGCCTGGCGCCGCTCCAGACAGGGGACGCAGAGGCAGAGCCACACACCTCTGACCACGGGCAGCCAAGACAGACAGACACGCGGAAGCCAGGAGAAACCGACATCAAAATATTTACTCTGTGCTCAGAGTTCCTCGGGCCAGGAACGTGCCCTGCGCACACGCACATGGTTGGCTTCTGCAGAAGTCTGGACGCACGCAGACCGCTCCGGGGCTCTGGCCTCTGGGCACAAGTGCAAAACACCCCCAAGTGCAGTGAGGAGTCGGCCTCCCTTGCGGGTGCATGTGAACAAGCCCCGAGACCCCCCAGGCCCTCTCCCAAAGTCATCAGACATTCACAGACCATGGCCAGGACCCCGGCGTGTGCCCCTAGATGCAGGGACACTGATGGAGTAAGGGCCCTCACCAAGGAAAGCCTCCTCAGCTGCCGGCCGGTTTTTCCTCCTGTGATCAGAGGCCGGGCCGCACTCCGAGGAGAGCTGGGTCCAGGCACGTGGTGGGGAGCAGGTGGCCGACCCAGACCCAGGAATGGAGGGCCTGTCTGGGAGCGGGTGGGGTCCACAGAGGGCAGGGCCCCAAAGAGGCCCGTGGGGGCCTGGGCAGGGGTGGGGGAGGCCGAGGGCAGGGATCCCGTCCGGCCAGTTGGGCCTGTTCTTCCCCTTGCGCAAGCTGGTGGCTGGTGGCGGCTGTGGCTAGGCCTGCTGCGGTGCATCTGAATCACCGGGGCTCCTGACCGGCGTCCTGCGCTCCCGGGAGGAGGGGTGGGGACGGTCAGAGGGAGGAGTGCCCAGCCAGCAGAGTCCACCAGCCTCAGCGAACAATTTGCAGCAGAAGGGGCCGTGGGCTTGGCCTGGCCTGGCAACTCCATGCCCGCGGGGTGACCTCACCAGGCAGGCGGCGTGTCTCCTTGGTTCTGGTGACATCATCGTGCTGACGCCAGGCGCGCACTGGGTGGGGGAGAGAAGGAGGAGGCAGCCCCGGCCTGCCCTGGCCTGGGAGTCTGGGCCTCTGGGTCCAGTTAGCCCGGGACGGGGAGCCCGGAGCCCGAGTTCTCGCTTCCTTCTGTTGCAGCCCCGTGTGCGTGTGCGTGTGCGTGTGCGTGCGCGTGCGTGTGAACTGCAGGAGGCTAGTGCCCGAAGCTGAGATGCTCCTGATTGATGACTAGTGGATTTAGGACACTGGGGGGCTGTGGGAGGGGTCCTGAAGGGGGTCTCCTGCTTTCCTGGGGTCTTCATCCTGTGAAGCATGGGCTTGTCTCGCAGCAGAGTGAGGATCTTGGACTCACAGGGAGGGATGTGGGGGATTGCGACTCAGGCGTGTGACCTGTTGTGCCCTAAGGCAGATGTATGTTGGGGGAAATGTGGGCGATCAGTGTGGAAAGGGGGCAGATGGTTGGCAGGGGTAGGGATGGGAGGTATACCATCCATCCGACGGGGTCCCGTAGCAGGGGGTGTGTGGCCCAGTGAGGCAGGGCTGTGACCCCTGCGGGCACAGAGACCAGGGCTCGAAGCAGAGGATGTGCTGGGGGTGAGTCCCCATCTCCAGCCCACCTCCAGCCCTTCCTTGGCACCCCTGCTCCCCCCAGTGCCGGGAGGAGCGGTCTGGGAGGGGCGCGGGTGGTTAGCTGGACTCTCAGGCCGGGCTGGGTGGGACCCACACCGGCTGAGGCAGGTCAGGGCCCTGGTATCTGGCCCTGCAGGTCTGTCCCGTTCTGTGTTCTGTCCGGGCCCTCCCAGCTCTCCACAGCATCCTGCCCCCCTCCCTCCACCCCTGCTCCCAGGGTCACGGGACCCCCTTCCTCTGGCCCATGCTCAGCCTCACTGGCACCCTCCGGTCCACTCTAGTGGGGCTTCACTTCCTCCCTCCATAGCTGCCCCCTCCCCCCCTCCCCCTGCCTTCTCTCTATGTGCAGTCGGAGCTGTTCCCTCTGGCAGCGAACCCAGGTCGCCAGCCTAGCCTGCCTCCGCCCCGGGCTGCCATGCCAACCCCCCCCCCCCCCATCTGCCCAGCGCAGCCACAGGCTCATTCCTCCTGGATCTCCCGTTTCCTGGTCTCCCTGTCTTTTTCTCCCTCTCTCTCATTCATTCATTCAATAAACACTAATCGAGTGCCAATTAGGTGCAAGAATGCAGGCCACCTGCCACTGAGCACTAAATCAGAACACCGTGTTTCTGTATGTGACGGGAGACCCATTTCTTCTCTTGGGGAGCTCCGTCCGGTGGGAGAGGCAGACAGGAAGAGCCCAAATGCAGGCAGGGGGATAAAGTACTGTGGTGAGGTAAGCGGGAGCAGGGGCACCTCCCCCTGCCCGAGGTGGGGGTGGGGCGGGGCAGGAAGCGTTGTCTAAACGGAGTCGTAAGGATGAGTAGGAGTCATCCATGCAGACACGGGGAGGGGCGCCCCCAGGAGGGGCGCAGGGGAGCCAGGCATGTGAGGTGCTGCCCAGAGGCAGGGGCTGAGCACTGCGGGAGCTGCTGGACATACCTTCCCAGGAAAGGAGATCTTGGCCTCCCAGAGAGCCCTCCCTCTGCCCCCAGCCCTGCATTTCACTTGCCTTATTCCTCCCCCCCACCCCCCGCCGCGAGCTTCCCCAGGCCCCGCCTCCCTCCTACTTCACTCACCTTAGAAACGTAGGAGTTGTCTACGTCTTTCCTCTCTTTTATCTCTCTTTCTGGTCAGGGATGAAATCCTGCCCAGGGTCCCCCAGGACCGGCCCCTCCTCCCTGTCCCACAGCATGAAGGGTTCCTAGAGGGTCTGGGGTCTTGAGTCTCCCTGCGTGCCAGCCAGAGGGCACACAGCCACTGGCCTCTCGCCTAGTGAAGGTTCCCCATGAGTTCCTTCGCCTGGTGTGGAAGGTCCACGCACGTGTGCCTCTCCCGCTCCCCCCCCCCCCCTTAGGTGCATCCTTTCCTCTCGGTTTCCGGAGCCAGCCAGCCTCCCCACCCCTCCGGGTCCCTCACTGGAATCCGGGTCTGAGTCTCCCCCTCCCGGCCCTACCCAGCTCATGCACAGGCCGTCCTGCGGGACTCGGGTCTACAGTGACTGTCCCCTCCCACTAGCCGGTAACACACCACTGAGCACATCAGAGACTGTCACGCCTTTCCATGCACGGCCACAAAGGTGTCTCTTCCTTGTGAACAGATCTCGGGCTCCATGACACCAGACAAGAAAGGGGTCCTTCTTTGAAAGTAAGGTGACGTGATAGACACCCCTGGGTGCTCCGTACTGTCCTCGTCAATGCACAGAGCGCTCACCCTTCGCCGCTGGTCCCAGTCTCTGCCCCTCTGATTCCGGCTCACCAGCCACCGTTCTGCCCCTACGGCTGTGCGTCCGCCCTGACCTCATCTCTCTGGGCCCCTGACCTGGGGCCTTTCTGTCTTCAGTGACTTGCTCATTCCTGTCTCTGAGCCTCCGTTCCTGCCATTCCTCCCACAGAGAATACCTTCTCTCTGGGAATCTAGGTCTCTCATCTTCAAGCCATGAAAAGAATGTTCTGAAGGGCCCTTCGCACCCTACGTGCCCCATCCCAGCGACAACTGCTTTCCATCCTTGCTTTGTCTCCTGGCCACACTTCCTGAAAGCGTTCACTCCCCCACCCTCCCCCTGGTAGGTGGAACCTTCTGTGAAAGTTGGTCCAGGGCTTCCCCCGTCTCTGTGCACAGAAAACCCATTTCCTTGAGAGGACTGTGAACTCCCGGAGGGCAGCTTCGGCCTCCCACCCCACAGTTGCTCAGGATACAATCCTGGGCTGGGCGAGGGTGTGGCTCTTTCACCCAGCGTCCCCGTGGCCTTAGGCAAGTCACTTCCTCTCTCTGGGCCTCAGTTTCCTCATCTGTTAAATGGCGATAATAACGCCCACCTCGGGAATGTTTTGTGGCTCTAATGAGGTAATGGACAGAACGCTCTTTGCAAGCATAAAAGGCTCCAGGAGTTCCGGTGGCCTCGGGGGGCCCCCCCCTTCATCTGCAACATAATCAAGCGCTCCCCGGGCTCCCGCGGCGCCCCTAATCTTGGCTGCTCCTGTCTGCCCCCTGCAGGCCGCTGCCGGGCTGGCGAGCTGGAGACCTCGGACCCGGTGACCGTGGTGCTGGGCCAGGACGCCAAGCTGCCCTGCTTCTACCGAGGGGAGCCCGGCGAGCAGGTGGGGCAGGTGGCGTGGGCTCGCGTGGACGCGGCCGAGGGCGCCCGGGAGCTGGCGCTGCTGCACTCCAAGTACGGGCTGCACGTGAGCGCGGCCTACGAGGGCCGCGTGGAGCAGCCGCCGCCCCCACGCAGCCCCCTGGACGGCGCGGTGCTCCTGCGCAACGCAGTGCAGGCGGACGAGGGCGAGTACGAGTGTCGCGTCAGCACCTTCCCCGCAGGCAGCTTCCAGGCGCGGCTGCGGCTCCGCGTGCTGGGTGAGTGGGGTGCTGGGCGCATGCGGGGGCGGGGGGGGTGCAGGGACGCGTGGGGCAGAGGGAGAGTGGGAACAAGAGGTGGGGTCCTCCCACCCAATCTGGAAATTCTCTCCCAGAGACCTCAACAGCTTGCTACATACAGCTGTCGCCTTGGGAGGAGTCTGTATGATAGAACTCTCTTCCTTCTGTTGACCCGCACTCTCCTCCTTGGTCACTGTCGCCCTCCCAAACAAGATGGCGCAGGCCCATTCTCCCTTCTGCGCTAGCCTTTCGAAGAGCTGAGGGTCTTGCCATTCTCTATGCCCCACCTCAGCCCCCGGTCTCCTTGTCTGGAAGCAATACAGTGGTTCTGCAGTAGTTCTACCAAAGGCACTGGGTCGCAGCGTCGCCTTCCACGGTTTGACCATGTGGGGCTGAGATAGGGACATGCAGACCCAGGCCTGACCGGTGGGGCTCATACGCTTCTTGGTCTGGACCTTCAGTGAATGTGGCCGAAGAGATTGTGAATGAGATCACAACCACCTCTTATTTTACTTTATTTTATTTTTAAGTTTATGTATTTATTTTGAGAGAGAGAGAGAGAGAGATCACCAGCCTGGGAGGGGCAGAGAGAGAGAGGAGACCGAGAATCCCAAGCAGGCTCTGCACCGTCAGTGTAGAGCCTGATGCCGGGCTCGATCTCAAACCGTGAGATCATGACCTGAGTTGAAATCAAGAGTCAGATGCTCAGTCAACTGAGACACCCAGGCGCCCCTCACAGTCACCTTTCTTTTAAGCCACCATTTTGTGCTGTGGGCTCTTCTGGTCAACAGACCCTAGGCCTATGGACTAGTTAAGTTTTTTCCATTTCGTGCTTGAGATAATAATAAAGACCTTCTTCAGTTTCCCTTTATCTGTGTGGAACTGAGTAACACTAGCCTTGGGGATGAAAATCCTGAGTGTGAATCTAGGCACCATCCTCCAACAGCTGACGACCTGGGACAAATCATCTAACCTCCCCAAAGCTCCGGTGTCCTCACCTGTAGAACAGGGGTTGTGATGCCCACCTTGCTGGCCTGGGGACAGGATTAAATGAGATAACATTTACAAAGTGTTTAGCACAATGCCTGGGACCTACTAAGTGCTTACTAAGTGGCAGCTGTTATTATTAGGCCAGAGATGTTATCCAGCCAGCTTTTTATTTACTTCATTATTTTTTGTTAAAAAATGATCCCTGCTTATTGGAAAGAAAGGAAGGAAGGAAGGAAGGAAGGAAGGAAGGAAGGAAGGAAGGAAGGAAGGAAGGAAGGGAAAATCAAACAATAGAGAAAGGTACGAAGCCAGCTGAAAGCCTACCACCCACAAGGTGGTGTCCATGTTGGTGAGACAGGACCATGAAAAGGGCCTGGAAATGTTTCCCTGCGGGACTGAGCTGGGACAGGGCAGTGCCTCCTGTTGGGGGTACAGACGGTGACCCCTGCCTCCCTCCCCTGCAGTGCCCCCGCTGCCCTCACTGAACCCTGGTCCGGCGCTAGAAGAAGGCCAGGGCCTGACGCTGGCGGCCTCCTGCACAGCAGAGGGCAGCCCAGCCCCCAGCGTGACCTGGGACACAGAGGTCAAGGGCACGGAGACCAGCCGCTCCTTCAAGCACTCCCGCTCAGCCGCCGTCACTTCAGAGTTCCGCCTGGTGCCCAGCCGCAGCATGAACGGGCAGCCGCTTACCTGCGTGGTGTCCCACCCTGGCCTGCTGCACGACCAGAGGATCACCCACACCCTCCAAGTGGCCTGTGAGTACTTGATCTTGGGGAGAGGCTCGCCAGTCTGGCCAGGCTGGATCCTGAAGGCCGCCTTGGGTGGCTGAGAGACCCCTAGTGCACAGGCAGAAGACCAAGAGCCGTCTCAGATGACCTTGACAAATCACTCAGACCTCTCTGACCTTTGGTGTCCTCCTGTTTACAGCAGGGACTGTCCTTTGCCTCAGGGTTGTTGGGAGAATCGGGTGTAAACATGGAATTGAAAGCACTTTGTGAAACACGCGCAGACAGACGGCTGCGGGCCGCAGAGCGCAGCCCCGGTTCTAGTTGGACAAGCCCTACTTCTGCCTGTACCGGCTGTTACTCAGTCTTGTCCGTCTTCATTTTCCTCAGCGGCAGGCGTATAATTATATGAACTTTACAGGTTTCTGATGGGAATTAGAAACCACGAGAGAGCAGCATCTCACACAACGCCTAGTGCCTGGATGGTCCTCAGGAAGCAGTAGATATCGTTTTCCCAGCATTAAACCCGGAGCCTCTCTTCGGGCTAGGACTGTTTTCTATTCATACGAACCCACCTTTTGGCACAAAGTAGGCCCTCAATGAATGTTTGTTGAGGAAACGTACAACCAAGTAGGATTGTTCAGCCTTTGGAGAATCAGGGAGCGGATGCCGAACGCCTGTTCTGTGCCTAGCACTATGCCAGGGACCACGGGGGTTCAGAAAAAGTGTGAGTCGTTTCTGAGGGTCCTCTAGGCTCACTGCCAGGACAAACCAATGTGCACTCTGAGCCAGAGCTCCGAGCTCCCCGCAGGAGCCGTGCGGCCGGACCCGGCGGCGAGGCTGGGCTGGGCTGGGCTGGGTTTGGAAGCAGATGAGAAGGACAGAGAAGGGCAGGGTGGGTGGGGCGCGGGCAGGGGCCCTTGGAGGAACAGCAAGATGGAAAGCCTCCTTCCCCTTCTTCCTCCTCCCTCCTCCCATTCCAGTCCTCGCGGAGGCCTCTGTGAGGGGCCTCGAAGACCAAAAGTTGTGGCAGGTGGGCAGAGAAGGGGCTACCCTCAAGTGCCTGAGTGAAGGGTACCCTCCTCCCTCATACAACTGGACACGGTAAGGGCCTGGCCCTGGGGGAGGGCCTGGCTTGGGACCAGGGTGCTTCCCTCGCAGGGCCACGTGTCCTCATTATGCGCCGGGACAGCATATTCTGAACCCCCAGTAAATCGGGGCACATGTTCAGACCCACACAAGAATACGCACGGTCACCAAATATTATTATTGGCTTGTGCCAGGGGCCTATGACACATGTAGTCACTGGGAGGGAATAAGCTAGGGAGTCCTCGGCTTCTCCCCCTAACTTTTAAATCATGAACTATAACATAGTATTTAAATATTAATACTTTATATATTTACGTAAGTGCCTAGAGTGGATAAGACAGAAAGATACCGCTGACTGTAAGTGCTGTTAAACTGACACCATAAGCACCTTAGAAGCAGCAGCCACCCACCTCTACCAGTTCCTTGGCCTTTTGCCAGGGCTCAGATGTCCAGGGAATCAGGGAGGGGTCAGGTGCACATGCGTGTGAGCCCGCCACAGGTGCGTTCTCGTATGTGAGCAGATGGCCCTGTGTATGTCCCCTGCCACGCGGTGGCGTGGGTGTTAGGGCCGTGCGGTCACACTTTCCAAGTTCATCTGAGTCCAGAGAGGAAAGGGGTGTCCTGCTGTGTGGACCTCATACCGCATCTACCTGGTACCCAGTACTGGATGACCTGATGCCTGTGGGGAGCGTGCGGGAGGGCGCGCGTGCGGATCTTCCCTGAGAGTGTGTGGGGGGTGCCCGGGTCAGCCTGGGCGGCGGGGAGCAGGGGCCTCTGCCGGGACCTGCCCAGGGGAGGGAGGGGCACCGTGGGAACCTCCTGCGGCTCTGGGTGACGTCATGGGGGAGGGGGGTGGAGAGCTGCCCGGGCACGTTGGGTGGTGGCAGCCTCGGCCCGCCCCAGCTCCCCTGTCGTCCAGGTTGGACGGGCCTCTGCCCAGCGGGGTGCGAGCGGAAGGGGACACTCTGGGCTTTCCTCCGCTGACCACGGAGCACAGTGGCACCTACGTGTGCCACGTCAGCAACGAGCTCTCTTCGCGGGATTCTCAGGTCACCGTGGATGTTCTTGGTGAGCGCCGGGGCAGACACAGGGGCCACTGCCAAGGGCACGGATGGGCGACGGCAACAAGCAGAGAGGGTGAATTGGGGGGGAGGGAGTGTTGATTCGGGGCGGGGGGTGGCTAGACCGCATGTATTTGGCAGAGGGTCAGGCTGAGGGGGTGGTTTGGGATGCGCTTTGTGAGGGCACTGGGGCAGGGTTTGTGGGGGCGGGGCCTCCATCTCAGACGGAGGTCTGTGTCCAGCAGACCCTCAGGACGCCCCCGGGAAGCAGGTGGACCTGGTGTCGGCCTCCGTGGTGGTGGTGGGTGTGATCGCCGCGCTCTTGTTCTGCCTGCTGGTGCTGGTGGTGGTGCTCATGTCCCGGTACCATCGACGCAAGGCCCAGCAGATGACCCAGAAATAGTGAGTACTGGCCGCCTCTGGGTGGGCGGAGCTAGGCTGGGAGCAGCAGGTGCGGGCCAGCCCCCAGGAGGGAGGGGGACACCCGGTGGCCTGATGTCTGGAGAGCTTAGGGACCGGAGCTTAGGTGGGCAGAGTCCTTCTGGAGGTGAGGAGGGCCCGGGCCTCGGCTGGACAGGGAGAGCCATGCCTGAGCGAGGCTCAGATCCACGTGCCCGGGTACCACCAAGCACATACACCCTAACAGGGCTCACACTCGCTCTGCAGCCACATATTGCCACCTGCAGCCACTCACTCACACTGGCAGGGACCGCACCACACCCACCCACACTCTCCAGCCCCGTCTCAGAGGCTCAGCCCAGCTGGGCCCACCTTGGGAGGCCATGGGGACCCTCAGCTCCTAACAAGGGCGTTTCTTTCCCAGTGAGGAGGAGCTGACCCTGACCAGGGAGAACTCCATCCGGAGGCTGCACTCCCATCACTCGGACCCCAGGAGCCAGGTGTGTGCCAAGGTCGGGTGCATCTGGGACTGGGGGAGGGGAGAGGAGGGGAGGGGAAGAGAAGTGAGGGATGGGGGAAGGGGGGCAGAGAGGGAGACTTGGGGGGCCTCTTTGTAGACCGGAAGGTCAGACAGCCCTCTGCCAGGGCTGGCCACTGACTCGCAGCCTGGGCTGGGGGTGGAGCTGCTTTGGGGTCCACTCTGGGTCCACCTGGCCCCTTCAGCACCGGCCCGGGGGCTGCCCGGGGAAGCCTCCATCAGGACTGGTTCCAGGGCCGGGCTGGGTGTGGGGGGGCGGGGTGAGGACGCATGTGTCAGGGAGAGAGGACAGGCGGACAGGTCGTGGTGGGGGAAAGGTGATGAAGGAGGACCCTGAGCCCTGTTCTGACTCCTCCCCCATGTCCGGGCCCCACAGCCGGAGGAGAGTGTAGGGCTGAGAGCCGAGGGCCACCCCGATAGTCTCAAGGACAACAGTAGCTGCTCTGTGATGGTGAGGCCCCCCGGCCCCACCGGCGTCCCCACCACTCACCTCAGGCCCCTCTCCTGCTCTGGGATGTGGCGAGCCAGCCACCCCCTCACCCCCCCTCGGTCTCGGGCCGGCTCAGGTCGCAGCCCAGCCGGCACCTCTGCGGTGCCTGAGTTCTCCTTCCCCATGCCTGACACTCATTCCTGGCCCCCATGTCTGAGCCCTTGCTTGCACCTGACCTCCGACCCTCCGGCTCCCCCCTCCCCCAGTCTGGCTGCCCTGCTTTTGTCCCTGATGTGCCCTCTGCCCTTGGTGTGCAGAGTGAAGAGCCAGAGGGCCGCAGCTACTCAACGCTGACCACGGTGAGGGAGATTGAAACACAGACTGAACTGCTGTCCCCCGGCTCCGGGCGGGCGGAGGAGGAGGAAGATCGGGACGAAGGCATCAAACAGGCCATGAACCATTTCGTTCAAGAGAACGGGACCCTGCGGGCCAAACCCACGGGCAAAGGCATCTACATCAATGGGCGGGGGCACCTGGTCTGACCCAGGCCTGCCTCCGTCCCCTAAGCCTGGCACCTTCTGCTGACCTGGGGGATTTCCGCTCATCACGTGGTGGGGGGGGGCTCCCTAAACACCCTATTTCTTCAGGAAGACACTCCCCATCCCACCGACTGCTCGACCTTTTTCTCCAACCCTTCTGTTGGACAAAGGGAGGCTCCGCGAAGGTTGAATCCTTCCCTGTGTGTGTGTGTGTGTGTGTGTGTGTGCGCGCGCGCGCGTGCACGCAGCTCACCGTGTGCATGTGTGAGTGTTCACTGACCTTTCACGTGTGCAGGGGTGATGTGCCCGTGTGGTGGTGTCACAGTCCAGGTGAACCTGGTGTGTCTGGCTTGTGTGTCGTGTGGCTGCGTGACCTCTACGTGTAAGCGCAGGTTATCTCCTCGGACCCCAGAGCAGTATTAATGATGCAGAGGTTGGAGGCGAGAGGTGGAGACAGTGGGCCAGACCCAGGTGTGCGGGCCGGAGCTGGATTCTGGCCTCCTCAGTTGGGGGGCCGGGCTCCCCCCACTTGAAAGCTGTCGGGGCAAGTGTGAAGCAGCCGGCTCAGGGGTCTGCCAGGCTAGAACTGTTCTGGAAGACGCCCCTGGCCCTCTGGTGGCCTCTGGTGGCCTCCGGTGGCCTCTGGTGGCCTCTGGGCCTGCTACACGTGCATATTGTGCATATTTTCTATAAATAAGCCTGCTGGGGGAGTTTCTTTAAGGAATACTGCTCCGAATACTTTAATAAGAGACACAAATCTTTGAAAGAACACTTTCCATTTATCTGGATGTTTGTAATTGCTTGGACTGCTCCGAGTGAGGCCAGCCCACCCAGAAAGTCAGCCCCCCTAGACCCTAGATGCTCAGACCCCAGCAGGGGGCTAATGCCCGCGGTTTTGAAAGGTGCTTCTGCTAAGACACTTTAATTTAGGTAGCCTCTCGGGAGGGAGCCTGGACGCATGGAGTCTGAGCAGCGGGAGCCTTTCCTTAGTTGTATCCACAGTTGTCTGTGGTCCCTTGGGGGTTGCGGGGACTGGGTGACAGGGAATCCTGGTTCGGACGCGGTGTAGGGGAGAGAGGGTAGTGATTACAGATCAGGGGAGGGGGGGTTCAGGTGGGGAGGCAAGAAGGTCTTCTTTTCCCCAGGGGCCTCAGGGTCACTAACTTGGGGCTCTTCTGGCAGTTTTGGGGTTGGGGTGAGATACGGTCCGCGGTTGCCTGGCCCACCCAAACACACTCAGCTGGAATACCCAGATTTTTGTGCCCAAACCCTGCTTGGCCCGAAATCTGGATTCCCCCCGCCTCCCGGCCCCGCCCTGGCCCCGCCCCGGCTCCCCAGCCAGCCCAGGACTTTGGATGTGGAACCCAAAGATCTGGGGTCCTAGTATGTACATTTGGTGTAAATATGTGCATATTTGTATATAAAATGATATTCTGTTTTTAAATAAACAGATAAAAGCTGTTCTGACTCGTCCCTGTCTTGCCCCTCGAACCACTCGGTTCTCCCTCAGCACCATCCTCCCCGCGGCCCCGAGTAGGGCGGGAGAGAGTGTGTCTGTGGCTGGGGGCTAAAGGGGAAGACATGCCCCCACCAGACCCTCTGCCCTCTCCCGGGGTCCCCTGATCCTCCTGGGACGCCCGGCGCCCTTGTGCGAGCTGTTGCCATCCTGGGTCACCGAAACGGGCCTGGGAGACAGGCTGCGGCCCACACTGCTTCCAGACAGAAAAGCTGACCCTCAAGTGAGTTCCAGGGAAAGAGCTGGAAGGATTCAAGATCACCTAGTTCACCCCCTTCACCGTCACAGGTGTGGAAGCTGAGGCTCAGCGGGGTCATGTGACTCGTCACAAGCCGGCTGGGGGCCAAGCCTGGCATCCTCCGGGGGGCTTCGCACGGCCCGTGCCACCTGGCTCTCAGGCCGGCCCCCAGCCTCCGCCTCGGAACCCCCCAATTCTGGTCTCCGCGGGTGTCAGGCACCTGCTCACGCCCCGGGCACCGCCACCCCACCCCAGGGCTCTGACCTCACCTCCTTCTGACCAATGAGGGGAGTCCCAGCGACCGGTTGAGGATGTGAATGTGAGCTGCCTCCCCCACCCCAGGCCCTGTGGTTGCAAAGATGCTCTAACAGGAAGCGGGTTTGAGGAGCTGAACGGCTTCCTGCTCCCCCAGGGCTGAGCAGGGCCAGAGGGGCGAGTGCCAGCCTGGGCCACGAGACACAGCTTCTTGCCAGGGTCCTGGCAGCTTCCTCTTCCACGGCCACTTCCGGGTGGCCGGGGCCCCCAGAGGCGTGAGCTGTGGCCCGTTGCCCAGGCCACCTTCCACTCCCCTGGTTCGGAGCCCGGCCTCCAGGGGCCGGGCCAAGCCCAGAGGCCGGCTTGGGATCCCATGGGGGACCGGTAGGGCAAAGGTCTTGGGGGGCAGAGAGGTGGCTGGGCCAGGGCCTGGGGGCTCCAGCCATGAAGTCTCGGCAGAAAGGGAAGAAGAAGGGCAGCTCGAAGGAGAGGGTGTTTGGGTGTGACTTACAGGAGCAGCTGCAGCGTTCCGGCCAGGAGGGTAAGGAGGTGGCTCAGGGCCGCTGCTGGGTGGGGGGGCCTGGGGCCTCTGCGCCTGGTCCAGTCTCAGGGACGGAGGCAGCTCCCAGGTGCTCGTGGCGAGGGGGCAGTGGCGAGGGGTCAGCGCCCAGGAGGCTCCGAGCAGGCGTGGCAGGAAATGTGGCTCAGCAGAGGAGAAGGCAGGGGAGCCCCTTGTGTAACTACCGGCGGGTGGGGAGGCTGAGGGAGAGCATGGAGAGACGGGAGATGGAGAGAAGTAGGCAAAAGAGAGGGGAAGGCATCCCTGCTGGGGATGGGAGGCTGTGGGACAGGGTCCGGGGACAAATGGCCAAAGGGCCCGTGGATGGTCCTTGGGTCAGAATGAAAGGAGACAGAAGGGCGCGGAGAGTCTGAGGGTGGCCCTGGGGCGCACGGGGGTTTCCTGGTTGGAGGAGAGCACCCTTGGGGCCACCATGGTCGCGGGGTTCTGGGCCCTCGGCAGCCTTGCTGCAGGTGAGAGCGTGGGTGGCATCTCTGTCCCCCAGTCTCTGTGACTCTCCCTGTGCAAAGGAGAAGCGGGTTGAGAGTGGAGGGCGAGGGCAGAAGCGGCTGAAGCGCAGGCTGTGGGAAGGGTCCGAGAGATTCCCCGAGGCTGGTGGGAGGGCAGGGGTGCAGGGTGCAAACGAGGTGGGCGTGGCGCTGTCTGTGGGACTTGTCCACCGCCTCCCTGAGTTCCCTAGAGGGGCCTGGAAGCCAGCAGGGCCCGGGACAAGGCTGGGCTCACCCCGGCATGGAGTAGCCGCTCACAAACTTTGCCTTGATTTGAAATTGAACCCAGGTATCCCGGCTGCCCGGCCCAGCTTGTTTTTGGCCTTCTGAGCTCCTCCCAGAGAAGGGCACGATCCCCCCCACCCCACCCCACCCCACCCCAATCTGTCATTTCCTCTTCTCTGCTCTGGGTTGTGGTGCCTTCAGTCGGGGAGGGTGATGGTGGTTCCCAGCTCATTTCCTGCTCTTAGCTCCGCCCCCTCATCCCCAGACACCTCCTTCCGCTTTTCTCCTCCCCCAGAGGCCCCCATCCCCACTGGCCTCCCCTCAGGGAAACCCAGGGCCCACAGGAGTCTTAAACAGCTGAAGGCTTTGCTCGGCCAGCACAGGGCTGACTCCTTTACAAGGGGCTCCTCTTGAGAAGGATGACTTCTTGGCCAAGCAAAGGCCACGTGATTCAATGGGGCTGAGGCCCTTCCAGTTCTCTGCAAATCCTCAGTTCAGTCTCCTCCTTCTGGTGCTGCCCTTGTCTGTGGGCCCCCAGCCAGGCCCCTGTTGAAACATGGAACCCCCCCGCCGGCCCACACCCCACTCCTGTATCCCCTCCTGGCCTCTGCCTGCATTCCCAGCACAGGTGAGCGCCATGTTCTCTGGAAGGTTGCTGGGGCCTGGTCCTCGGGAATCCCAGAGGAGGAGAGAAGCAGCCCCTCCCTTCCCCTGAACCTCACCTGAGCCCAAGGGTGGCGTGATCTCGGGCACCCCTCCCTACCCGCTCCCCCTTTCCCTGGGCACAGACAGGTGGAAAGTGAAAGGCCAGAGAGAGGCTGGTAATGGCTTCGCTCTCTTCCTTCCCCAAGCCCTACGTGTGCTGAGCTCTTTCTTTGCCTACCCTTTATCTCTTTGTTTTTCTGTTCAGGATCCTGATTCTCCAGTCTCTAAATTCTGGGCCCGCCTCCCTGACCCCGCCCCCATTCCTTGATGTCTCCATGGCTTGTCTCCGGCACCTCAGCCCTGTCCCTTACTTTCATTTCTGATGCCACGGCCCTGACTTCGTCTCCTTGACCCATCTCCTCTATGGCTCTGATTCCTTAGGCTCTCGAATACCTTCTTTAAGGGCCGTTTCTGGAGATTCAAAATCAACAGAGAAAGACAGGATGGGGAAGACTTGGCTTGGATGCAGCTCATGTGAAAAGGACCTAGGTTTTAGGTGACAGCGGACTATTTATGAGACAACAGAGGAATATGGTGGCCGAGAGAGTTGGTGTGGCACTAGGCACCTGAGGGGGGTCCACCCCGTTTCTTCAGTGCTGGGAATCTGAGGTCAGGGGACCCTGGCAACTGCGTACGGGTCCTGGAAGGATGGACGATGAACTGCAGGGTCAGGACTCAGGTGAGGCGAGAGAGGGGACCAGGGTGCCACATTTAAGGAAGCCCTTGCCTGCCTGCCTTCCTTCCTTCCTTCCTCCCTTCCTTCCTTCCTTCCTTCCTTCCTTCCTTTCTTCCTTCCTTCCTTCCTTCCTTCTTTTCTCTCTTTCTCCCTTCCTCCCTCCCTCCCTCTTTCTCGCTCGCTCTTTCTTTTCTCTGTCTCTCTTTCCCTCCCTCCCTCTTTCCTTCTTTCTTTCTTTCTTTCTTTCTTTCTTTCTTTCTTTCTTTCTTTCTTTCTTTCTCTCTTCCCCTTCCTTCCTTCCTTCCTTTTCTTCCTTTCTTTCTTTCTTTCTTTCTTTCTTTCTTTCTTTCTTTCTTTTCTTTCTTTCTCTTTCTTCCTTCCGTCCTTCCTTCCTCCCTCCCTTCCTCCCTTCTTCCCTCCCTCCCTCCCTTCCTTTTTAAAAAAGTTTTTTTTTAATTAATTTTTTTAGTAATCTCAATGTGGGGCTCAAACTCATGACCTTGAGATCAAGAGTCACATGCTTTTC